TAGCTAACTAAAATTTGTATATTTACATGCATGATCTTATAAAATTTTTTGAAGGTAAAATATAGTTTTCTATGCATAAGTTTATAAGATATTATAAATATAAATATCAATTTTAGATATTAGTGTTGTAAGCAAATAAAAATTGTGGTCTATGTATTATTAAAAATGGAAATGATTGTTGGAGCAGTATAACATTGGCATCTAATGAGTTCATGATTGGCATGCTTGTGTCTTTCTTGCTTTACTGTTCTTGACACTCACTCCTAACACGTCTTTCTTGAGTCACTGTTTCTCGCACAATTGTTCACTTCTTACAACACCGCTTCAGACTGTAATAGGTATTTTTTTGGGTCATTGCTTGCACTCATTTCTGACACTCATGGGTCTTCTTTCGGGACAACTTGCATATTAAGCATACCCATTGTGTGATTCCCTTCAGCGAGAACACCACCTCACTTTTGTTGTGTTATGCACTCACATCACAACACTGTTGGTGCATTCATCAGTAGTACACGTCATCTCATCTTGGTGAAGAATGTTTGCTATTTGTGATAACTCCTACCCTGGCGAAGTGGTCATGATGCACTGGTTCACTTTGCATCTGCATGTGCATTCTTGATCATCTTGACGATGAAATTGGCTCATTAGTTTTGTGAACCTTTGCCTGTTACAATGTGTCAGCTAGTATTGATCGTGAGGATGTCTCGGTGGACAATATTAGCTATCTCATTGTGACTAAAATGCATATATTGTGCTATAATTCCAAGGGGAATCGGTGCCACTTAGGCTTTTCTTTCCTTATGACCCATTTTAAAGTATAAAAAATATATTTTTATTATTTATATGCATCATATTTTCAAAGTCTATGTTGAAACTATTTGTCTGAGACTATTTGGATTGAGAATTTATGTATTAAAAATGTTTGTAATCGTTCGTAAATTAATATAAATGTTTATTTGTGTGAAATTACGTGTTATTTTCTGTTGAATTAAATTAGTTAAGATTGGTGAATCTCGAGTAAGAGGAGAGTTGAAAGGGAAGAAAATTGTTATTAAAGAGTTATGAGACCATGTAGAGATGGTTGACTTAGGATAGGAGTGCATTTCACTTAAATAAAAAAAATCAAAATTTGTGCACTGGCGCTTAAGCGCCAAAATCCTACGCTTAAGTGCTGCCTAAACCGAGAGACAGGAGCCTAAGCGCCAAACCATTCGTGCTTAAGCACCGAACCATTCGTGCTTAAGCGCCGGTTCATGAAAACCGGTTCACGAACAATTTTAAGTGACGATTCGGTCCAAAAACACCATTACCGAACCTCGACTTCATCTTCTTCCTCGGGCCAGTTGCGATTTCTAAGCTAGGGCTCACCATATTTGAAGATTTCTTGGTGATTTGAAGCAAAAATTGCTAGATTTGATATCTTTGAGGTAAGAGCTTCACTTCTATGTAAATTTTTTTGATTTTCACCATGTATTTTGAGCACATTCATGAGCTACTAAAAATCACTATTCATGGTGAAAATTTGAGAAAAAGCTATGGAAAATAAATGGATTTGTTAGTTTAAGCTTTAAGGAGTTAATTTTAGTGATTTAGAGTTGAATTTGGAATTTATTTAGAATTTTATACAATTTTTTAGAAATGACACCAAGAATGAAGAGGAGCAAAGGAAAGGTTCGAGAGCTCATGATCGATACAGTGATGCACTGCAATTGAGGAAGTTGATTTCTGAACGATGCTTTAAAGGTCCGAGAGGTGCTGTTGAAGATTTGATTGTTCATCGCCAGTGGGAGTGATTCTGTTGTTTTTCTGCCGTAACAGTGATTTCTGTTATGCAGAAGTTCTTTGCGAATCTCCCTAAAGCTAAGAAGGAGTCATAGTGCGGGGGAAGACAATGCATTTTTTAACCTGAGGTAATAAATCAATTTTATTAGTTGGCCCTGAGCAGTTTGTGTTTTTATTCAAATTATAGTCCTACTGAGGAGGAGCTAGATGAGATTATTTCTTCTTTGATTGATGGAAGAGGGCTTTGGAAGATTACAAATGAAAGAAGAGTTAAATTTTCTACTTCAAAGTTGGTTGCCACTGCGAAGGCATGACACTATTTTATTTCTGCTCGTTTGCTACCTGCAAATCATCTTAGTGAAGTGACCCGCAATCGAGCAACTTTGAACTATTGCATCCAACAGATAAGCCTGTCGACATTGGAGCTTTGATTCATGGAGTTATTACCAGTTCTGTCGTCGCTGCTACTACTGTAGGTTTGGGACTTGCATCCTTGATCTTTTCTTTATGTGAGCAAGCTGGAGTTAGATTTGACAGTTGGGAGGAGATCTTACAAGCTCTTAAGCCTATTACTAGTGTGAATGTGAAATCTTATTCACATCATTTCTTTTTTGGCTGGAGAGGAGGATTTTCTAGTAGTTCTTCTTCATCAACATCACGAGCTTCTAATTCACATGCTTCAACATCACGAGATCAGGCTTCTGGATCTGATTCTAAGTCACAGCTATTACAGAGGATTTTGGACAATGTCAAACAAACTGCGGATAAGGTATTAAACTTAGAACAATTTGCAGAGCATATGGATGGATATATGAAGAGACATAGTGATTAGGAGGGTGAATTTAACTTAGCTATGGAAAACCTCATGAGAGATAACCGAGATGTTGTATTTCCTCAGTACCACAAATATCCACCATATGAGCCTGCAGCTACTTGGCGTAGTGACGATAGTGATGCCGAGGATGAGGATGATTAGTTTGGATCTATAGTTTTATTTAATTTTTAGTTTGTTTATTGTTGAGAATTGTTGATAGTGCAATTGTTCTGTACTTTTGTTATGTTTTCATTTGTTATTGTTGAGGCTGTTAGTTTTTGTTGTGCTTTGTTTAGTAGACACTACTGTGATGTATTTGTGTTTTTGTGAGCAGGTATTATGTTTGGTAGTAGTAATTGTGATAATTGTGTTGTTTACTATAGTAGTTAGTTGTGCTAAACTTAATTCTGGATATTAGGAAGGCTTAAAATATAACTAATATTTTACTTAAAAGCTGCATGTTTAAAATTTTCAATTCACTACCAGGCATTTTTCTTTATGTTGCAATCATGTATGTTTGTTAGTGTGTTTGTTTGCTTTTATGTTATACTCAGTAGCATAGAAGTCCAATGAATCTCTATATGTTAAGTAAATTAAAACTTGATCAATATAATTTTTACTCCTGTTATTAATTTTTATACTTGTAGGATGTAAAAATTTCTGTTAGCATGTTATTTTAACTTTCATTCACTAATTTTTCATTCATGCCAATATTTATATATGATGCTAAAATATTTTAATTTTATTAAAAATTCAAGTTTTTTTGGGGGGGGGGGGGGGGGGGGGAGGTATCTTTTTGATTTTTATTTTCAAAACTCAAATTTCTTTTATTGAAATTAATTTTCAAAACCATTATTATGTTTTTAAATGAAAGAAAAATATCAACTCTCTGTTTTAGGAATGAAAGAGTGGAATTCAAAATCATTAAATGCCTATTCAAATATAGTAATCATTGCCTGAAAAAGGACAAGGAGAAGAAAAAGAAAGAGAAAAGGGAAAAAAATAAAAGAAAAGAAAAATAAAAAAAAGGAGGAGAGCTTGAGGATTAGTGCCTAATCAAAAATTGGTTCCACATCAGATCTTTTTAAAGTATAAGACTTAAGAATCTTGTAAGCTAAAGGAATAATATGGTAAGTAAAATTATGCTTAATAAAAATTTTTAAGTGGAGAAGATAAAATGCCTAAACTCTATATTTGTAGAATCTAAATATTTCTGAATTTGATAGAAACTCATATTTGCATATTTCTTAACATTAAAAATTTCTAAACTCTGAGTTGGTCTCATTTACTAATATTTTTTCTAAATTGGAGTACTATATTTTTACATCAAAATTTTAGTAACTCCTAAAAAAACTCATATACATCATCTACTTATTTAGCTTTTAAAGATTGAAGGGTCACTTGAGGACAAATAACATTTTAAGTTTGAGGGATTTTGATATACCAAAAATATAGTGTTTTTATATACATTTTTATATCCATTTTTGAGATATTGCACTTTAATGAAAGGTATTTGTGTATTTTTCTTTCAGGTACTATCAAAAGGATGAAAAATGCTGTAAGGAGTGAAAAATGGTCAAATTTAGAGCAAAAATGAAGAATGTGCAAAAAATGAACTAAGGTGCCTATGAACTAGGGTGCCTAAGCACTCCCAGGACTGACGCCTAAGCACCAGAGGCTCGCGTCTAGATGCCCAGTACTCTGCGCTTAAGCCCCAAAAGTAGTTATTTGATGATTCATTGAATTTAGACAAATTTTTGAAGTGGTGTTTGAAGCAAC